GAGTCAGGGAGGGGGCTCTTAAAACCCAGCCCTCCCGTCACACATCTGCCTGTCTAGCCACGTTTCTACCCTGCCTCTTAAAATGTTTTCCCCGCTTTCTTTTTGCGTATCTTCCTCTTAACACACACTGTGATTTCAGGTCTGATACGGCCGATTTACTTTCCCCGAGTGAGCCCCTTAACCGCTCTCTGCTGCTGTTTTATCGTTTCCCTCATCAAATTCCTTTTAGATTAGAAAGCTGGGGGATGGTACATTAGCTGATTGGCGATGCTGAAGCCACAAGAGGGAGCGTGCAGGGGCGTCGGGACACCCAGCCTGGCATGGGGAGCCCCGGCCCGCCCACGTCTCCACGCGGAATGGAGGGCACTGGAACAGCGTCTGCTGGGCTGGGTGCTCATGACTTCACCGTCTTCCTAAGCTCAAGGTGGACTGTGGTGTGTGCTGCGTGTACGCGCTCACGGCTGCACAGACAGTTTTGTGCGAAGCCGGGATCCTAACTCCACCACAACCAGCGTGGGTGAAACAGACGAGCCCTGCAATTCTCTGCCTCAGTCTTCGCGGCTGTGAAATGGCCCCGGCAACCCCCAAAACCGACTCCCGGCTTTGGAAGCACTCTGTAAACCAGCCCCTTGGCGGGAGGACCAGTGCTGTAGGCGCCTCACTGGGTTCCTGCTTCCTCCTGCGTCACCTCCCAGTAAGGTCCGGTCTGGTCCCCAACCGACACTCCCTGCTCCTTTCTAAGTCAGCCTTTACCGCCATGGGACACACTGCTGATGTCACCTATTTATTTTATTTGTGGTCTGTCTCCCCTTACACAACATGAACTCCAGGAGGGCAGGGCTGTGCCTCAGTCGTCCCCACCGTGTTCCCACCTCCGAGGACACAGCGGCTTCGGGCCCCAGGGGTGTCTGTCAGATGAATTCACAAATGCTGGCTCTATACGACCATCATTCCAGCCTGAATCTCCCTCTGGTCTGCCCTTCGTGGGCAGGGACCCCCAGGGCTGGACGTCACCACGGGCTCAGATGTTTCTGACAAGGCCGAGCCACGGCGGCACCTCCCAGGTAGAAAATGTGAACACTCCATCCCTCAATAAATAAAAGCAAATCCGCCCTGCTTAGCTCCAACCGCCTTCCCAGGGACGCTGTGCAGACAACAGCGCCCTCCACAGCCGGCTGAGCTGCGTCCCGAGGGCCCCCAGCTGACAGCTGGCCTGGGCCTGGGTGTGCACAGGCCTTCCTTCCTCCCAAACAGCCCTCCAAGCAGACCCCCGGGGGTGCCCACTGTCCCTCTCCAGCAGTGTCTGTGCCCCCCGCCCCCACGAGGGTCGCTGGCAGAGGCGGCATCGCACGGTCCCTGAACGACGGGCACNGTGCTTCATTCAACACAGGCTGGTTCTGATAAACACGTCCAGGGGACAAAGAGCCGAGTGGTGTGCCAGGCGGAGGGCACAGCAACGAGGCCCGTGTGGGGAAGCCGGGGTGTGAGTCAGGCTTCGGGAGGTGGCCTGGAGGGCGGGGCCCTGCTACAACCCCCCAGGGGCCCAGTGGGAGGGGAGGGTTTATAGCAGCAGCCAGGCTGCCGGGCACATTGAGCTGCCAAGTCACCGAGCAGCATGCTCCGTGCCCTGTTCCTCCTGCCCAGCCTCCTGGGGGCCGTCCTGGCCAGCCCCATCTCGGGCCCCCAGGAGTGTGCCAAGGGCTCGGCGGTGTGGTGTCAGGACCTGCAGGCAGCGACGAAGTGCGGGGCCGTGGGGCACTGCCGAAGCGCCGTCTGGAGCCAGCCCGCCGCCAGGTCCCTGACCTGCGACGTGTGCCTGGATGTGGTAGCCGCTGCCAACAACGGGCTGAACCCCAACGCCACGGAGACTGACATCCTGGCTTTGGTGACCAAGACCTGTGAGTGGCTTCCCAGCCAGAACTCTTCAGCCAAATGCAAGGGGATGGTGGACGCCCACAGCCCAGCCATCCTGAACATGCTTTGGGGGTCCCCGGGCAGTGCCCCGGCACAGGTTTGTGCTGCGCTCACCCTCTGCCAGCCACTGCAGAGGCAGCCGGCCACCACGGGGCCACTCTCCGAGGAGGACACATCCGAGGTGGTGGCCCCGTTCATGGCCAAGGGGCCCCTTGGCTTCCGCCCTCCACAGGCCCCTGAGGACGCTGTGTGCCAGAACTGTGTCCGGCTGGTCACCCGGCTGCAGGAGGCTGTTGGGTCCAACTTGTCCAGCTTGGCTGAGGTGGCCACGCAGGAGCAGTGTGAGTCCCTGGGGCCCAGCCTGGATCTCCTCTGCAAGATCTACATACTTCGGTTTCTTGCCCCAGCTGAGCACACACTGAAGCTTGTCCACCCCGAGGAGGCCTGCAGGATGGGAGGCTTCTGTGAGGAGCCACAGGGACCCGCCCGCCTGGCTCAGGTGGCTGCTGCGGAGGGGGTCCCTTCCCTGGAGTCCCCAAGGAAGAAGAGTGAGGTCCTGATGAAGGCCGGCCTGACCTGCGACGTGTGTCTGCAAGTGGTCCAGGAGCTGGACCAGTGGCTGGAATCTAACAGCACGGAGGCCTTAATCAGCCACGCCCTGGAGCGGATGTGCTCAGTGATGCCCGACGCCATCGCCCAGGAGTGCGTCACCATGGTGGACACCTACGGCCCCTCCCTCGTGCAGATGGTGACCAGAGTCACCCCGGACAGGGTGTGCACGGCGGTCCGGCTCTGCAGCAGCCGGAGGCGGGCCCGGGACATCCGCTGGCCCCACATGACCACCCTGCCACCCCTGCTGGACAGTGAGAGCGAGGGGACCTTCTGCGGCGGCTGCAAGAGGCTGCTCGGCGTGTCCTCCCACAACCTGGAGCGCAAGAGCACCAAGCGCAACATCCTGGCGGCCTTCAAGGGCGGCTGCACCATCCTGCCGCTGACCTACATGATCCAGTGTAACCGCTTCGTGGACGAGTACGAGCCCGTGCTCGTCGCGACCCTCAAGGAGATGATGGACCCCACGGCCCTGTGCACGAAGATGGGCGCCTGCCACGCCCCCAGGACGGCGCTGCTGGGCACTGACCAGTGCGTCATGGGCCCGAGCTTCTGGTGCGGGAGCAAGGAGACGGCCGAGCTGTGCGGCGCTGTGGAGCACTGCCAGCGTCACATATGGAAACTGACGCGCTTCCACACTGAACAGCACGCGTGACCGTGGCTGCCAGCCACCCGGCGCCTGCCAGTGTCCACCCGGGAGGCCCTTATCTCCTTGAATCCCACAGGGACCTGACGAGGTGGGTGCTGTCCCCATTCCCATTCCACAGATGAGAAACTGAGGCTCAGGCGGGGAGGCTGCGGAGGGGCAGGGCTGGAGGTTGGACCCCACAGAGCCCTGTCTCAACAATCGTGCTGTGTGGCTCTGGCCTTGCAAGTGTCTCCAATGGACTGGAACCAACTGCTGCACCCACCCCTGCCCCGGCCGACGCCCTCAGTCCCCATCACTATGCTGGTGCTGGCCGTGTGAGGGGTCTGCAGTGGCCTCTGGTGACCCCTCTGCGCCTTGCAGCTGAATGTGCCTGCTGGGAGCTAGGCTGG